TGTCAGAGAGGGCATCATTCCCTAGAGGGTCTAAATTCATCCCCCAAGAGGACAAACACCAAGTTTTATTTTTACCTAATGAAGGGAGTCAACCAAATGTACATTACACAATGAAAAACTAAAGATTCTTCAGTGAAAGACACAGCTGCTGAATTTGGAGTGAACTATCTTACAGATGTGAATATAATAACAGAAAAGCAACCAGTTATTCAGATGGAACCAAACACTCTTAAAGAGGCCGAGATAAAGTCCTTTCTTGTGAATAAAAAGGTCATTGCTTGCTGACAACAAATCAATAAATAAAGAATATAATAGGGTCGATATAGTGACTTCCCAAACCCTTCCTATACACAATGATGGCCTCCCAGATGGATCTGTTATTCAAGAAATTAACTCCATGCCTGCCGATTCAAACTTGTTCATGGAAGTAATTTCCATCACTCCTACTGATTAGAAATCTTCATTTTATTTTGGGTATTATTTCTCTGGTGGAAAGAAATTCTGAGCTTGAATATAATGTAGCCAATCCTAGAGCAGAAAATACTAAATTTCAAACTTTGGAAAGAACAAAGGTTACTCCTGAATCCATTGTTGACATAGGAAAAAATTTTACCTAAGTTTCAAGTCACTTTTACTGTACTAAAAAATACAAGAATGTTGAAGAAAACACTTTCTTTGGAACTGATATTCTTAGTCATAGAAGCCACTACTTCAAGTAATGACCTGAAAAGTCTACAAAGACCAAAGCATAGATGAAGGTTATAATTGGATTACTGCAAATGTTATATCCTTTGGAGACAAAGAAATAATGTTCCTATGCCCCATTACAACCTTCAATTACAAGGTATTTAACCATGCACCCAACGTTTCAATCGCTCAATGAGAAGGGAACAAAACTGCGAAAATTAACTTACCAAAATCTCAAAATGCAATCGCTCATCTGGCTTCCTTTAGCGTTTCTGAAGGTGAAATGTGTTCTCTGAATGAAGATATTGAAGCCAAAACTCCCTCAGTGACTGTGTCTCCGTAGTGATTACAATCACCTCAACTAGAGATAACCAAAAACAAATTAAAACAAACAAACCCACTGCCATCAGGTTGACCGATTCATAGTAACCCAAGCGTTTCCAAGATTGTATCCTTATGAGAACAAATGGCCTCATCATTCTCCCACTGAATGTCTGGTGGATTTGAACAGCCCACTTTATGCTTAGCAGCCCAGTGGCTAACCCACAGTGCCAAGAAGGTGTCTCAATAAGGGATAATAATTCTATATTCTCCAATAAATTGATAAAATCTGAAGGTAAATAGACTTTCTAAGACAGGAATTTTAGTGTCAAATGGACACATTGCTCACCTAACAGTTGATTCTTCTAAGATTTCACAAGATTTTATTCTCATGAAACCTAAGGTTTCCTGCACACCCAGGATGTCTTGATAGCTGACAGCATTATGGCACAAAGGTTTGAAAGTTCTATTTCTCAAGACTCTCTTTCTTGTCAGATATCTGAAAATCATAAATGTGTGAAATTACCTTCCTAGAAGCTTATTATGAAATCTCTCCTTCAATTTTGCAATTTCTACCTTTTCAGTTAAAGTAAGCCTTACATCATGAACCTGATAGAGTTGCTACTTAAAAGAAGATATAATTACTGAACCCAAAACTTCAAATTTAAAAATAAATAAAAAAATACCTGTTAGCCAAATGGGCTCCTACTATGGCCGCCAGAAGAAAATATATATATTCTCAGAAAGATGCATATATCTTTATATATTTGACAATTTCCAATTTCCTGGGAAAAAACAAAATATTCCTATTTATGGGAAAGACTTTCAACAATAGAATAAGATGAAATTCAGATAAAATCAAATTTATCTATAGAATCTGATCTTCTGACCTTAAATCAGATAATGCATTTGATGACAATTTATTGGTCAAAAAGGACTATATTACCTGGACCAGATGTCACCAACTTCATCCGTAAGGTGGAATTCATAGCTCAGAAATCACACCTTTACTGGTCTACAGTGGATGGCATATGCTCTCAATCTGAGACTTCCTTTTTGCTATCAATGAAATAGAAACACTGATAATATTGATAACAAATACCCTCAAAAAGAATCCTAGTATGCTGCAATAAATGTGATTCCACTGCTGTACAGGTAAAAGCATAGGGGTATACCAAGAAAGTACCTTCTGACATTAAAAACTCTGACAAACTTTGGTGAAGTTTTGAAGATGAACTATTATTGAAGTTGATGAAGATATTATAATAATTTCATCTGGAATTTCTGAAATGGATTAAATGCTCCTAAAATGACTATTGTTCTTTTTTTTTACATGTTTCCCAAGGACTATGTGTATTAGGCATTCAATATTTACCAGAACACCATCCTGTGGGTCCACAGGCTCCACCGCTCACCTGAGCAGAGAGAGGCTACATGCTGAGCTGTCTAGCTTAATGGCCTTGTTTACTGTATTTTCTTAAGGTTGTCTTGAGGTTTTTTTGTTGTTGTTTTTGTTTTAAAACCATTTTATTAGGGGCTCATATACAACTCTTATCACAATCCATACACACATTCATTGTGTCAAGCACGTCTGTACACTTGTGGCCATCATCATTCTCAAAACATTTGCTTTCTACTTCAGTCCTTGGTATCAGCTCCTCATTTTTCCCCTCCCTCCCCATTCCTCCCTCCATCAAGAACCCTTGATAATTTATATATTATTCTTTTGTCATATCTTACAATGTCCGACGTCTCCCTCCCCCCACTTTTCTGTTGTCCATCCCCCAGGGAGGAGGTTAAATGTAGATCCTTGTAATCAGTTCCCCCTTTCTACCCCACCTTCCCTCCACCCTCCACTCTCATCACTGGTCCTGAAGGGATCATCAGTCATGGATTCCCTGCTGAATATTGCTCTTATTCCAATTTTGTTCACCACAAGAGACACCAAGTCTTCCAAGATGTACACATAAGTCACCCACCTCTCTTTTTTCCTATCTTGTATATGAATAAACTTTCCCCAAAAGGACATAAAGTCTTCATTTATATCATGTTTTTGAACTAAACTTCACAAACATCAGTGATAGAAAAAAGAAATTGGATCTACATGTGACCTCCTCCCTGGAGGACGGACAACAGAAAAGTGGGTGAAGGGAGAGGTCAGACAGGGCAAGATATGACAAAATAATAATTTGTAAATTATCAAGGGTTCATGAGGGAGGAGGAAGCAGGGAGGGAGGGAGAAAATGAGGACTGATGGTGAGCAAATATTTTGAGAATGATGAGGGCAATGAATGTACAAATGTGCTTTACACAATTGATGTATGTATGGATAGTGATAAGAGTTGTATGAGCCCCTAATAAAATGATTAAAAAAACAACAATAACAACAAAAAAGTCATCTCACTAAGTTACCCAATTTAGTGAATGATTTTACCTTTGACTTGTTTTACTGCCCCAGGAGATGAAAGTATTTCTGTTTATCAAAAAAATTCTCTGCTTTTTTTCTCACTCTTGGCACCTCTTTTACTGAGACCCTAATGCTGCGTATGCTTTTGAATCAACTAAAGACTGTGGGTGCCCTTACAAGTAAAAACAGCTTAAAAGAAGTTACTTTGTTAACTAACATTTTGAAGTGTTCATCTTCAAAGCTAGTCTCATTTTCCTGCAGCGAATTGTGGTATCTCTATATCAGAGACCAATAGCTAACAGAACAAAGCTGGAAACGTTGAGGTTGGACTACACGTGGGCAGTAGAACTTAAACTGGCATCTCTATTCTGACTCAAACTGAACAACAATTGTGATTGTGGTGCAGCGCGGGGCAATATGCCATTCTACTGTGCACAGGGGCGCTCTGACTAGGAACTGTTTTGATGGTGAACACAATAACAGCAACTTTGGTGAATGCTGCTGCCCTTCTTTCAGATAGTTTTAATTGTGTCTGAAAATTATAGTCCCTTTAATGGCATTGTTTGATTTTTTTAAAATACCAATTTTAAAGGATTAACACTTGATATAATCTCTCTTCACCATAAGTAAGCCTAAAGATTGATGTGAGAGTGATGATGTTTGATCAAACCAATATTACTATTGAGAAAACTCAATTCTTATACTGGTGTATATTGTGATCTTTTTTCTGAAAAGATTTCCCATGGAGTAACGTAAAGGATACTCCAGACAAAAAGATATATGACATCAACATCTTGCCAAACACTACTTTGGGGGCTGAAATCCACTCTCCATGCACACACAAAAGTACTTCAAAGGAAGTTGAACCTACCCTTCCTGTTACTCAAGTTAACTGGAGGAAATGTAACCGTGGTCACCATAAAGAGTGCTGAGTGCGCCATCAGAAGCCAGTGAGCGCTTTACAATAGCTTTACAGAAAAAGTGAGCATTCCCTCAATGAAGAAGAAAACAAAACGCAGTCCCTGCTACCCAGTCATCTTCTACAGCTGCTTTCACTGCCAGGGAAGCCAGGACTATTTAAAGAGTGGTCAAATCATATGAATCTCAAGGAAAGATGCCTTACGTATAAAGGGTAGTATGACTTACGTGGAAGAGAGGAGATCTGAAGCTAATGCTTACAAGCTTGTGCCTGCTAGAGTTTTCTTTACTGACACTAAAGCCACAATGTACCTGGGGGTGGGGGGGGCTCTCTCTCCTAGGTCTATTTCATATGACACTACCTCCATATGGGACAGCATGCCCCCTATAAACTGAAACGTGGTAAATCCCAGCTTCCACACAATTACTATGAGAGTTGGTTACATAATCACAGGGAATTCCATTGTGTTTTCATCTACTATCAGTAGGACTCCTGCAAATGGGAACCCAAGCACAGCCTCCAAGGAAAGCCAGTGTCACCGCCCCTGTGTCTGATGCAACAATTGCCATGATGACCAGGGCTTCAATCACTACAATGATACCACTTTTCTGACTGGGGATGCCACTGAGCCCAGGAGAAAGACCTGGTGAGAGTGGAGGGTGTCCATTCACCCTATGGCTGAAGATGGCTCTCCTAAAATCTATTCCCATCATCCATCAGAAAAGAACAGAACACCAACTGAAGCCAGAATTTGCTTTGGGGTAGAAAATACTATACCTAAACCAGAAACAACTATTACTTCAGAAGGGGACCATGTTTCTTCAGTAAATGACTACATACAAGAAGGTGATTTCTCACCCCCTACAGGCAACAAGAATGCACCGCCTGAGATTCATACAATTGAATCAACAACCCACACAGAGAAAGATGCGCCCACCCTCACTGGCACGACCAACTCCATGACTTGTGAATCTGTTACTGAAAATTTCATCTCGGCCAAAATTGGTAACATTTCACAACCATTTGCTACTATTTCTTTAATAGATTTTTCAAATAACCTAGAAGAAGAAGATATTCTACTGGATACAATTTACCCAGGAGATAAAAATGTCTCCGTGATTTCTGAAGTCTCGGGCACACTGAAGAAAAACGCCCCCTTCACTGCTGACCCTCTGGCACCTTCTGACACCAAGGTTGCCCCTGGTGTTATCGACTCTCACTTCTCAGACACACACAACGCGGATGAAATTGTACGGTCTGCCAAGTCCTTTATGCCTGAGGTTGAAATCTCTTCCTCTACTGAAAAGAACATCACGACTCTTCCAGACATAACCAGCCTTGCGGAAGAAAAAGTAACTGAGATTGATCTAATTCTTTCAGAGAAGGACCCTGATGCTGTAGCTAATTTAACTGATTCTGCTGAGGAAAACTTCATCACTGTGTTTGAATTCACTGACTCTGCTGAAAGGGAGAGAGATGACCCAGGAGATATTCCACTAACAGATGAGGAGTCTGTCGATGACATCAATGTTTGGCTGGAGAGTGAGAATTCAAACGAAGAAGAGGCTCATTCTGTTTTGCTTACTGCTGTTGAATCCAGATATGACTTTATTGTGCCCACATCAGTATCCATGAACTCCATGAATGACTCACCTACTCCAACGACGAAGGAGTTATCTGAGAATGACAGCACTGAATCTGTAACGAAGATCACTGAGCCATCTTCTGGAACTGTTACCAACCTAGATGCCCCAATTCCTGTCCTAGATACTTCAGACCACTTGGATGACACTTTTACAACTGACATGGATCTCTTTAAACTACTAGGTGAAGATCCAGATGGGTTCATGATTTGAAAGCAGCAAAAACGAATACCACATAGCGCTTCAATAGCTCAGTCAGCTAGAGTTAACATCTAAGGAGTTTTTCCAGCAAGCAAAATTCTAAAACTAATGGAGTAAATGAGCATTGTAAGGCAAGTATGGTACTACTTAGAAATATAAATCATAGTGCTGGATATATTTATGGAAACTTTTAAAACTAAGCAGTGCAAGAGTTCCCCTCGTACCATAAAGTTTCATTGTGTCACCCAAGAGTTAATTATTTTGATATAAAATGTCCAATGTCCTAGTCTTGAGGGATATGAACAAAGAACAATATCAAAAGCTCACTTCATGGTAAAATTAATGATGTACATTCTAGTTTATCCTAAATAGTGTATGTCAATGAGCTATAAGGAAATGGAGAAAATTTAATTAACATATCTTTAAAAATCATTGTAAAATTAAAAATTTTTCTAAAATACATATGCTGATGCCAAACATATTTTGTTTCATTAGTATACAACTAATGATTTTCTTCTATTAAATATATGTAATCTAATTATATATATATATATATATATATACCCTCACTCACAAAATAATTAAGGCTATTCAGTAACTGCTCGGTACCCACAGGTGAGGTAGATATGCTATGAACAAATTTCTTGGTTCTGATGGATGTAAGATAAGGTAAAATAGTATTTTACAAATGTGTACATTTGTCAAACTATTATGTGTAAACATATGAATCAATTTTACTTTGTTTTTAAATTCCTGAATTATTGTCATTTTTTTCCAGGTGTTAAACATTGAGTCTCCTATTCTTCCTATGATTTTGGTTAGCTACTGAAGGACATATAGCTTGAGTCTTTTCTGACACAGACTTTTTAAATAGGTCTGTTTTCACTTTGCTGATATCTCTTCAATAAATCAACTGAAAGCAACTGAATCACTACGTGTGGGTGTGTTTGTTATACTAGCATAGAATGTTCACATTAGGAGAGATACAAACAAAATGAAAATCCATAGTTTACTTAAAGAACAAAATAATATATAGCCTACTAATTCACTCCCTAGTTGATTAGGACTCACAGTGATCTTATAGACAGAATAGAGCTACTTTTAAGAGATTCCGAGATTGTAAATCTTTACAGGCACATGATGCTTCATCAGAGAGGTTGGTGGGTTTGGACATCTTGCAGTTAGCAACTCAATGTATTAATGTATAGCAACTCATAAATTTATTCTATTAAAAGAGAGAACAACAAGAAAATAATGATGACTAGCAAATTGCATGTTTCAGAGAGATGAGGGGTAAGAATGTGGACCACTGGGTAGACAATTGTCTTGTTTGTGTTAGTCGCTGCAGACGAGGTTCAACTCATGGAGACTTATGTGTAGGTGAATGGAACCCTGCCGCTCAGCGCTGTGCCATGTTCAAGTTTTAGTCCATTGTTGTCACTGTTGGGTCAATTCAACTCATGGAGGGTTCCCCTGTCTTTTGCTGACTCTACTTCACCAAACATAATCTATAAACAAATACAGAAGGACATTCAAACCCAGAAATACATTTTAGCATAAAAAATGTTGTACTTAAAGCATAGACTGCAAAACTGTGAGACATGATGGTCAATAAATCATGCCTTAACTGACTATTTGGGGGGGAAATTGCTTTATGTAAGTACTATTTAAGACCATCCTCTAAAACAAATTCCATCAAATTAAGGATTTTAGTGTTATGGTTGCTATGAGTCAGAATTGAGTCTATAATAGTGACCTTTTTTAATGGAAAATAAAATTATATAAAACTAAGAAGGAAAGCTATGTTTATATTTACCTAAATAAGGATTGAGGCATCCATTTAAACATTTAATAAAGGGAAAATATAATTTTAAACTTTGTAAAAATGTAAGAAAGATAAAAGCAAGTGATAATAGAAGAGAAAGAATTGTGCTATATATAGCAATAAAAAGATTATTTTACTTACCCTGCAAAGAGTTCTTACAAAGAAAACATTTTCATTGAACAGTAGAAATAGGAAAGATAATTCATGTGATACAAATTGACAATGAAAATATATTTTAAATTCACTGACAGTACTCAAGAAAAGAAAAACATTTTTTTAACATTTTTATTAACAATGATGTTTTTAAATATTTATTGTTAACTAAGGCAAATTTGTCCAAGCTTTCTGGGCAGCAGTTTGGCAATATGTGTAATAAGCATTAAAAATATTTAAAGTTTGGCCTAGCTGTTTCACGATTAAGAATTTTCTTAAGCATTGAAAAGAGACCATGAAGGCAGCTAAGCGTTATTAGAGCCCTTCTACAGGTAGGCGTAGGGACAGTTGCAGACAGCACAGAGCCAGGCAGGATTTTGTTCTGTTGTGCACATGCTGCTATGGGGTGGGACCGACACACTGCATCAGAGTCAAGCATTGTTGTATTTGCATTCAGAATAACATTATATCTTCTTTAAGACCCTATAAGAAGGCATATTGCTATGCCCATCCTCCAGATACTGAAACTGCATCAGAAAAGCTCCATCACAGACCCCGCCTCTAAAATTAATATGCAGGAAGGAAAGCCTCCAGTGCGGGCGCTCTCCCTCCCGAGCCCGTGCTCTCCTGATTGCTACACAATCACGCTCACAGACCTAAATGCAGTGCTGTCATCAACGAACTAGACTCAAGGACGCTATCCTGTAAATTTATAAAGGAGATCCCCTGAACGCAATCTACAATTCGAATGATAAGGGATTGACTATATTTTGATATATCTATGTAAAGCGATAGCATGTACCTCTTATGAACATTTATATAGAAATTCAATCACTATAGGAGTGAGCACATTAATTGCTAAGTACGTGTGCGCGTGCGCGCGTGTGTGCGTGCGTGCGTGCGTGCGTGCGTGCGTGCGTGTGTGTGTGTGTGTGTGTGTGTGTGTGTGCGCCTGGGTGGTGAAAATGGTTAAGACACTCAGGTCCAACAATCGACCTTCGAGAAATCAGGTATTGGAAACCACATGAAGCACACTTTCTTTCTGGCACATTTGGACTTGCTATGCGTTGAAACTGACTGAGCAGCCACAGGTAAGGGAGTTTAACACTGAACACAATCTAGAGTTCGAATGACAAGGAACTGGTTATATTTTGGTATATATATGTCAAGCTGTAGCATGTACCTCTTAAGAATATTTATATAAAAATATAGGAGTGAGCACATTAATTGTTAAGATATTCAGGCACTAATCATTAAATTTTTGGAGAATCAATCCCATGCAGAGGTGCCTAAGAAGAAAGATCTGGCGATTTGCTTTCGAAAAATTAGTCAACCTTGTGAAGTGCAGTTTCACTCTGGCAGCGTGGGCTTGCCATGAGTTGGAATAGGCTAAATAGCAAGAGGTAAGTGTGTTTTATATATCTGTATCACTATATACAAATATATATTGTCAACACCATAAGCCAGAATTTTTAATATATATACAAACTTCATATATATTACAATATATTATATGCTTATTAAATTTTCATATACATAAATTTAACAATAGAAAAGAGACTATTGCCTAGACAAAACACAAAACTGAAAAATAATTAATTGTATGTACACATCGTTGATTACAAAGGAACTCCAGGTGATTTTGTTTTATGCTCTGTGCTTTCATGCATTTTCCAATTATTCTTCATAATACAGAATATAAAATATGCAAAGGGATGCACTATTGCCAACACCATCAGCTAGAAAACTTGGAAGCTATTCCATATTCCTCATTTCCCTTTACTTCCTACACTAGGTAAAAATAATCGCTAATATTATAGAGTGTTTTCTATGTCCGATACAAAATGGCTTATCCATTTTTCACTTACAAAATGTTTATTTTGTGCCTATGTTGTAAACACCATAAAAGTCTTTTATGATATTGTAATGAACTAAATGAATATTGGAAATATATGGACGAAATATGCAGAGTCACTGTATCACAAAAGCACTAGCCGACATTCAACCATTTCAAGAGGAAGCATATGATCAAGAACCAACTGGTGCTGAAAAAGAGAAGTCCAAAACACACTGAAGGCATTCATGACAAACAAGGCTGCAAGAAGCAACAGAATCCATGTGAGATATTTCAGCAAGACGATGCGCTGGAAGCAGGTAGAGGGCAGTGGTTGCTCTGGGATGAAATGTCTGCCTCCTATGCAGCGATGCAAGAAGCCCTGGTGGACCCGTGGGGTGCCCCTTAGGCTGCTAGCTGCAGTGGAGAAAGATGAGGGTGTCAGCTCCCATGAATATTGTCTCAGAAACCCAAAGGGGCAGTTCTGTTCTGCCCTACAGGGTCACTATGAGTTCTGGTGATGGTGGCTTTAAAAAAAAATTATCTATTTATTTATTTTTTAATAACAATTGCTAGTTTGCCTGTGTAGGTTTGCAGGGTGCTGTGATGCTGAATAGGTTTCTTCCAAGCTTCCAGAATAAGACAGACTAGAATACACTTATTAAAAAGTTTATTCTATAGTAAAAAGCCAGCCAAGGGAAGCACAAGAGACCACAATTGGGCAATTCTGCTTTCCGCGGGGTCACCACAGGTCAAGCGTGACTCAAGAACAGCTAACCACAACATGAGGCCAACTCGCTCACTCACTGCCATGGAGTCAGCGATGATCACAGCGATCCCTGTGGGTTTCTGAGACTGTAATGGTTTACAGGAATAGAAACCCCACTATTTCTCCAGTGGGCATGCTAGTGGTTTTGAACTGCCAACCATGTAACTTGAAGCCCAACACGTAAGCACTACACCACCAAGGCTTGGGGTTTAAAAATAGGGCTGGGTAAAAAGAGGGAAGAGAGCAGAAGCCTGGAGTCCAGAAAGAAAAATCAGTAAGAGTCCAGGTGGCTAGAAGACAGCGGACTTTCAAAAAAGGGGCACCTGATACTGTATTTGAAAATGTGCGGTTTCAAGTAGCTCTTCCTTGCTTGAAAGTTTCATTAAATAGAATTAAGGAACATGGTCTTGAATATGCAAATACTGAGGAAATTTGGAATTTGTGAGGCCAAGAAGAAATCTCTGAAAGTTAGAACTACTAAAGTAAAGGACATTAGACAAATTATTATCACACATACAAACAGTGAAAACCCAAG